CACTTAAAAATTACTTTTGGATATAATTGACATCTTTTACACTATTGGTCTGATCTACTAACAGCATATGTACTTCTAAAACTATCAGTTTAGTTTTGCATTTTTTCACAGTCATTTTCTTAAGTGTATTTTTTATATTTATTAGTTTACCTCTTCATTTAATTTGTGGGGTTTTTTTTTGTATTAATGCTTTTCAACTACTCATGGAGAAATATCCAATTGTATTAGAAATAAGATTTAATATTTTATTTTTGCTATAAAAATTGAGAGCTTTCCTTGTTTCCATTAAAAACTTGTTACTAGCGTTATATTAAGGAGCATTTTGAACACTTGTTATTATTATTTTTATACAATATTTTTGATATTTACCCTAGAACTCCTAAATACCAGATATATAATCTGCGTAAATGTATGTTTATTCTTATAGAGTAGGTTTTGGTTATTTTTTTTTTACTTTAAAGATTTGGAATTAATATATATATTTTAAAAATATGCCCCAATCACCATAAGAAAGCTAATAAAACTGTATTTCAAAACCATGAATGTGGGAGATACCTTTTTAAATACTTCTGTGTCAAATGATGAAACTGATTCCAGTTTTATGTAGTAAATACATTTTTGAAATATTATTTTTGACATTTTGAGTGTTATAGTCTCCATTATTGCTACAAATCCTTTTTATGGGTTCCATTTTTCCCTCTACTTACAAATTTCTGCATTTTTGAAGGCCCTTCCAGTATTGTTTTATGCCCATAATAATGCTGGTTGGAGGGAGAGATAAATCAGAAACCTCTGATGAGAAGACTGTCTTATCTGGAAATTCTCCTATTTATTATACTCTCAGAATAGTGTCTTGCTCATGCTAGGTACTGCAAATATATTAATATTTAACTATTTGAATATTATATACTATAGTTATTATGTGATAGTTACAACATATCACCCTATGATAAAGTGGTACTTCAGTCATTAATTGGATAAACTTAATCTAATTGCCAGCACATAATATAATTTCAACTGTGGGATTTCTGCTTCAATTTGAATTTCATTTATATGCAAGAATTTACCACATATGGCTGCTGTGTCCTAAATATCAAATGATTTGACATGGACATTCTAATTCTTCAGCCATTCATAGTTTATTAAAATAGCTAATGTTGCCTTCATGTAAAAGAAATGGAAATGTCTGTAAAAAAATTTCCCACTAAGATGCATTTACCAGGTGCTGGAATAATTATTGAGTGATTCGGTTGAATTACACTTCATAAACGTGTTATTAGACTAGAAAAAACTGAAGATCTAATTACAAATCTAATCTTGGAGGCGGAGGGGAGGAATGTGAAATTTTAATAGTAGTAGAATAAATAGATGGTATAGTTAATGGATGAAAAAATGTGAACTCTTAAGTTTTAAAAATTCAGCTGATTAGACTATACTTCCTAAGAATGCTACAAATTTAGCATCTGTGACTCAAAATAAACTTCCTGTACTTATGACCAGAGGGAAATTCAATTTTGCTAAAGGATTATTATTCAAATGAAATGATGTGGGTACCAACTCAGGCATATTATCATAGTTTCTCTAAGCTTGATTTATTTGATATGTTCTTTTCAATTGTCACATTGATTTAGAAAACCTCTACGTAGCCTCTTAAAATCTTACACCAAGTTTATTAAAGTTTCCTTTTCTACTTTGTTCTAAAACTCAATTTTCATTCCACTTGAATTCTTATAGTCTGTAATTTCCATCTTAGCAAATATATATATATATATATAAGACTATGTATATATATAGTCTTACTTTTTTCTCAAGTTGTTTCAAATGGATTATTTTGCTCAAGTGAATAAATTTTTTGTCTGTTCAAAATAAAGACCTTTTCAATGTGCATAATGAAAAGAACAAAAGAATAAGGCTCATTCACAGAAAAGATATATGATTATAGGACAGTCCACAAGAGTCCTGGTTCCTTCCAAGATATTTCTTCATATTTTGATAAGAATCACAAAACAAAAAAGAAAAGAAAATAAAGGAGATAGAAAATGAATGATATTGCATTATTTAAATGCAGTTAGGACCACCAGTTATTTCAGCATTTTTTTAAGCTGACAGTGAACATTCGGATACTGATTTAACTTGCTAACATTGAACTTGAGATTCCAGGGACAGCAAGTCAGGTCAAACTATAATGGTCATCAAGATAGCTGAAGCAGGAAGAGATCTCCTGGAGGAAAGGTATTCTCAATACATTTTTGATTTTGAGAATTTGACATTCCATTGACTTTATTAAGTTCAAGATAAAGTGAGAGACATGAATTAGTAATATCAAGAATCCAACATTAAAAAAGAAGTGAAACACCCTATTTTTAAAATATGATTTCATATATATATATATATATATGCATTGGTCTGAATAAGATTTTGAAAATAAAGTTGTTTTTACTAAAAATTCTCAAATTCTTAAAACAAGCAAAAATGTTTGCATATAAGCATTTTGCATATAAGCATTGGAAAAATGAAATGCTTATGAGCTGCATATTCCCATACATTAGTAAGGATATGTAGTATTAACTTAGGGTATTATATTGTTTGTTGCTTATTGGACATCTCTTAATAGGTGGAAATATGTAAAGAACAGAAACATAAAAACACATTTTTGTGTTGATCATTTACTTTTTAAATCCCTATTTAACTGTAGAATTTGCTTGGTATATTTACATATATTGTATTCATGTAATGCTAGACTCAACATTCAGAGAAAGGTATGCATAGTACTTCTCACTCAGACGGAAACTAGAAGCAGAAATATAAAAGATTTAGTAACAGAGTGCCACCAAGAGAGTTGAAGCTATCCTATCTAAAATGGGAGACTTTTGTGCCAACGCTTGCCAAGCACAATAAGTCCCAGGATAAAACCCTAGTTATTCACTTTCTTACCTGTGATGGCAGGATCTTCTCTCCTGTGTGCCAGCCAGGGCAAAATGAGCTGTGCAATAAAAGAAGTAAAATTGCTGACAATTTTCTCAAGTACAGTGAAATGATTGTCATTCAGAGTTCATCGGTAATTGTGCATGTTGCCCACATGGTTTCTGCATGTCAGAGGCTCTGGACAGCTGGACCTCCAAGACTCTACTGGGAAGGGTCCCAGAGGCAACTCTGACTTTGATAGCAAATGTCTTTTGAAACATATTGTTTATGTTTGATAAGCTTGATCACTTTGTAGATGATTAACTGTAGATGATAAACACTAGCTTTATTTAATCTTTCAGGTGTACTGTGAGTGTGTGTTTTATAATGTTACCTGATTTGTACTTTAGTTTCTTAAGTTATTCTTGTTTCACCATAAACCTTTGGATGAAATGAAATTAAATACAGAAATAAGATAGTTCACTTAAAGCTCAGTGGTATAATGAAAAGAGGACCGATTCATTCCAGAGAAGTCTGTATCAGAATCTTGATCTTTTAACTTCCTGGTTTGTGACATTGGAGAATATGGCAAACCACTCTGAACCTTTGCTGCTTTTGTTCGTTTGTTTGTTTGTTTCATCGAGAAAATGGGAGAAATTATTCAAAACCTAATGTCGTCAGAATTAAATGAAGAGAGTATGATATCAGAAAGATGGTGAGTGTTTAATAATTACATATATTTTCTATTGAATTGTCTACAATAGCAGAAAGTAAAAAAAAATCAAGTAATGAAAATAAGAGATTCAGCTATACAGATATTAGGTGAAAGAACAATGCTTTACTTGACGTAGATTGGAGTAAGTATTTGTTGTCTGAACTGTCTACTTGTTCTTAAAATTCTTTGGAATTAAAAACAAATAGCCCAAGAATCCAGAGTAGCTCTGTGGTATTTTTGCCATCTGTCTTATTTATTTATTTATTTATTTCATCCATGTAATGATCTCCTTTTTTTTCTGTGCCCTAAGAAAGGTCTTCATGATCTCAATAGGAAAGCTAGACTGGCCTGGAAAATGCATTTGGGTTAAAAAATAAGAAAATATTTATAAAGTATCTAGACAAGAGCTGAGCGATAAGTAGCATAAATACATTTTATAGAGACAGCTATATGCCTAAACAAAAGGGGGGTGAACATGCTTGAAGCTATGATTTGGATGGGGAAAAGGCAATATATTTAATCTAAACATTTGTACCCCCAAAATTTGCTGAAATAAAAAGAATTTAAAAAGCTTATAGAAAAAAGAACTAATATTTAATACTACATCATAGATAATATGGGAACTCGACTTTGAAACCAAAGGTTTAAACTAAAATTAGTTTTATATTGAAAGAGTTTTTTCCTCAAAATATATTTCAGTAATAGTTTTTCTGCAAGAAAAAAGTTTATTTACCTTTGAACTAGTTATTTGAACATTTATTTTATATCATTACATTACAATTTGTGAATTCTAGAAATGCTATTTTATTGACCTTGGTAAAGTGCTGGAATAACTAGGTTTTCAGGACTTGAAATGAAAATGATTATGCAGAGTGTGCTGATTATTGGTTCTTAGAATGTAGAAAAAGAATGGCATAGCAAGTTGCTAAGGAAATTAAGGGTTTGCTTGCTCCATGATATGCCTTATAATCACACTGATTTTTTTTCATGTTTTCTGAAATGTTCTCATATTTACTTCAGAATTAGTTTATCTAACTACTTTAATTATGAATGTGTCTTTAGGATTGGTTTCTAAATATGGTAATAAACATACCACTGCCATTGTGCTATTAAACATAAAAATGTAATTGAATAATAAGTATTCTACCTAGCTGGATTTTCCATAAAGATAATTGAAAGGACCTTCAAATGTCTGCATTAAAAAATCCTGGTGAATTTTCCCAAGGTTCTAACAAGCTATATCAAAATAGAACTCATTTCATGGAAAAAAGGAATCCCACAGCACTTCTTTTTAATAACTGTTCAGCTACAAAATTTTATTGGTATCTTTTTATGTTCCCTCTAGAGGATGTAATGCACAAAAGCATTGCCACGGAACATATAAAATTACAAATGAAATTTATTGTAAAAAGTAGAATGTCTTCTAGACTGGTGTCAGTATTTATTTCATTCATAAACCAAAACTGCAGTATAATATATTCATTGTCAGCAAGTTCATGTGTGTAAATTGCCATCCAATGTTATTGACTGATATAAGACAGATATTGAAAAGACAATTTAAATTTACTCTTCCAAACATAAACTGTTCCACAAAAGCACTGTAAAAACTCCTTCAAGATTTTGGGTTGTGCTTGACATTTATGGTTAACTACATAATTTGGTCGTGTCATAATCCATTGTGTTTGGCAATTTGGCATTGAACGCCTGCAGAGCAGATTGGATTCTCACCACCTCACTAGTAGACAGCTTGAGTCTGTGACGAAGCAAGCAAGAGAAAAGATCTAGGCGACGCTGACCAGGTGGCGAGAGCTTATTTACACGGTCTCTTATCTCTAGCAGTTGCAAAAGTGCTGAGTCCTGGGATCCCTGAGTGTAGGGGTAGTCCAGCTGCAAAATCAGGTCCCGAATTGCTTCAGGGTCAAAGTGCATGCTGTAGCCAAACACTTGAATGTTATTGATTTTCATGTAGCCCAGGTTCCGGGAAGGATCGATGAACTCCAGAGGCTCGTAGTAAATGCTCTCGTTGCCATTGGGCCCGCTGGACTTGATGCGGCTCCGCAGGTAGATGTGCACCGTCTCGAAGAACGTCTTCCACTTGTTGCCCAGCGTCAGCGTCCAGTTGTAGCACTGCAGCGGGAGGTCCAGCCTAGTCCGCTCCCAGTCCGGGAAGCTGTTTTCGTTCACGGGCATGAACCAGCTCTCCGAGTGGCTGCCCCCGAAGGGGTTGATGTAGACAGCCAACACCGGCTCCAGCGTGCTGTTTTTAGTTAAGCAAATCTGTAAGGAGAGCCCCAGGATCATGTGGACCAGACTTGACTTGTACTTGTTGCTCTTCAGGGTGAGCAGCATCCGCTTGCGCCAGGAGGGGTCGAACCAGCTATTGAGGCGCATGTCGTTGCTGATGAAAATGGCGTGCACCTCTATCCGCCTGTCCGTTTTCTGCAGCAGGTACTTCATCTCCAGGTCCTGCAGGTCGGTCTCGAAGCCGATGTAGTGGTCGGTGGACTCGGCGACCTCGGGCTTGCAGAGCCCCTGGCTGAGCATGTAGCCCGCGTTGCAGGCGCCGCAGCGCGTGCGGTTGTCGGGCGCGCAGGCCAGGCAGGCGGCCGCGTCGCCCACCGCGCAGGGCAGCGCCGCCGTGCACGCCACCTGGTCGTTGGGGCACGTGCACGAGTGCGTCTCCTCCGAGAAGCTGCCCAGGAGGCCGTTCTCGTTGCAGTAGAGGAAGGACTGGATGCGAGTGAGCCAGTACGTTGAGGTTCTAGAAACACAAAACAGAATGGCTTTGCGTCAATAAATAATACATGCTTTTTGTGCACTGCAGTAATGTGACTCTTGGCCCTGAAACCATCGCTATCATTTCTTCAGGTCATCTCCAGTCAGTGATTTAAACAAAATAAAAGATCCAAATAACCCATAATTAGACTGCATGCCTTCTTGTTAGTGTGCATGGAAACTGATCGTAAATGTAAATGGATCAGTTATTGTTTTGAAATGATAACCGACAACAGGAAATAAAAGAGATTTTACCATAAAATATCTAGAACAGAATTAGAGCATATACATGATTTTTCATTCGTTTAGTTTTAGATTCACAGAGCACTACTAGTGTTATATTAAGCCTGAATAGAAAGTATGATAAAAATGAAAGAAGAGTAAACAACTCTAAATTCTCAATCAGTGTATTTAGATCTTAGGGTGTTTACCAGCATTGGAAGAACAAGTACCCACTAAGAGGGAAAGTAATATTAAAACATGTTGGATTTTATTCTTACAGGCTGCTCAAGGAAATAGTTTAAGATATCTCATTAAAACCAACAAGCTCTTTTAATAAGGGTTAAGTGTGTTAGTTTAATGTGTTTGATTTGAGTCATTAACATTTTTTATCAAGCTAATCATGATTCCAATTTCAAATCTCACTTTTCCAATTTTCCCATATTATTCAAACTCTTTTGGTATGTTGAAAATCTCAGTAAAAGAACGAAGGAAAAATGGTGGCCTTGTAATCAGACAATCCCTGGCTTTTATAGTGTTGCTTTTTTTCATACTAGCCATATGATCATGGAAAAAGTTGCACAGCCTTAATAACATGCAGTTCTCCTATGTAAAAAATGGAAATAGTATCTTGCATGTGGGGTTTTTGTGAGAAATAAATTAGGCTCAAACTATATGCATGTATTTACAATATTGCACAGTGTTTCACAGCAGGCATTAAAAAATTGTATCTACTACTTTTGGTACCTTTATCCCTTTGTGGTGTTCATATTTAATACATTTGGAATTTCTTACAAAACATATATGTTATATTCAATCCTTTAGATTTATTATATCACTGCTATTTAAATAATTTGCATATGCAGAGGACTAGTGAAATAGAGATATTAATCTGCTTAAACAATCAATAAAAATAATTCATTAAGACATTCAGAACAATATTTGAGGTATTTGTATTATATATCCATTTTTGGTCACAGCCCACCCTCCCCTTGCAATATAATACATTTTTTTATAAGGTAAGTTCTTCCCTGTTTTTCTGAATAAATTTAAAAGCTCCTTTTTTTTTCTCTCATAACCTCTATTTATTTTTTCATAGTGCATTTTCCCACTCAAAATGTTGATATTATTTTGTATGTTCTAGTTTGTATTCTGTTTCTCTCATTAAATATAATACCCAGCTTTCCAGAATCCTGTATGTTTTGTTCATAGTTATATATCTTAGCAGAATGCCAGGAGGTAACAGGCCTTTACTATTTATTGAATATTGAATAAAATACATGGGTGAATCAAAATAATATGTTTTCACTAGGTGTATTTTTAAGTGAAACTTAAAATTTAACATTTGATACAGTTGGGAAGTGCTAAGTCTGAAATAGCAGGTAGTGGAGTTGTACAACATGCACTTTGACATTTGCATAGTTATACACATACAGAAGGCTTTCTTTTCTGGCTTCTCTAAATGTAACTATTTTTTAAAGACCTAGAAGAAACGGAAGGAAGACATAAGACATAACACGATTTTCTCTTAATTATTTCTTATACTGAAAAATAACCACTGGAATTGTAAATCTATTAGATTCATGCTACAGTTTGAATATATCCCCCAAGTTCATGTGTTGGAACTTGATTGCCAACGCAGCACTGCCGGGAGGTGGGAGGAGGGGTTTTGGTCATGGGGGGCCTGCCCTCATGACTGGATTGATGTCATTATCTCGGGAGCGGGTTCTTATAAGTGGACAAGTTAGACCCCCTCTTGCTCGCCGGTCCAGAACCCCGAGCCAACACATTTCTGCTCATTATAAATTACCCGATCTGTGACACTGTGTTATAGCCATACAAAATGGACTAAGAAAATTCATTTCTGAATTTCTCTAGGTACTTTTAAGATAAGTTCTCTGAAATACTCTCCGGGAGCATGCCCAAAGGTTATGAAATCACAAAAATGTGAGGCCTTTTGGCACCTCATGAACATATATTTATATATGGCTATCCCTGCTACTCTTGCTGTTGTTCCTCGTTTTGTTATCACAGAATATAGGTGGGAAAATGCTTCCTTTTTCTATGGTTTACAAAGTACCTTGATTAATTATTTTTTTATTCTGTCTCAGAATACAGAGATTATTATTACTGATTCGTTATCTGCAGTTACTGATGCCTTTATTCCATTCCAGTGTCTTTCTCTGCCAACTAATTTTCTTTCTTTCTTCTTCTTCTTCCTTTTCTTTTTTCCTCCCAACTTTCCTCTTTCCCTCCATCTCTCTCCCTCCCTACCTCTCCTTTTACGTCTTTCTTTAATTCTACTTATATCTATCTAATATAAAGTATATAAAACAGATATCCTATCTGGATTGAAAATTATATTTTCTTCCCTAAAACCAAAGCACAAATGCCCTAAGCTAACTTATCTCTCACTATAAGCTCTAATCATGTTTCCAAATCATAAGGACAAAGCAAAAAATTGAAATGAATAGTCCTAAGGCTAAAGGCAGAGCTTACAAAAGTAGGGCAGTGTAGAAAGAATCATTTGGATACTTTAGAATAGCAATGGCTTTTCCAGCTTTCAGTGTTTTCCAATCTTTTTTCACATCCTGCAAATGCACTACTGAAGGAAGGGGTTTCAGCTTCCTGGGTTTCAGCTTGTCATGTATGGGTATTGATAACTCAGCACACTTGTCAAAGCTCTGACACTCTGGGACTGAACAGCTAACGTGGATTTTCTTACTTGCTGCTTCTTGTCCTTTCTCTCCGAATACCTACCTTTTGACTATTTTACTATGTTTCATAAGAGGGAACAGATTTTTCAAGAAAGAAGAAATTCAGTAATCTTTCTTTCTTTACCCCTTGTAAAGTCTTGGTGAAACCTTGGTCAAAAATAAAGGCTAAGCAAGTTTCAGGATTGTAGAACAGATTTTTCACTTACTCCAAAGTTTACAGTTGTCTTTCTTTATCCCAACAAAGTAGAATTTAGCTCCTCTTATTTTATTTTAAACTTTAAAACAATTTTTGAAGAAAAAGTCTTAAAAATTCAAAATTAGTATTATCAAGTATTTTTTCACTTTGTTTCCTTTTATGCCTAAATATTAAAACCAATAAAATAATATCCCATTTTATTCATATACATAAATTTAGTTAGGCAAACTTGTTAGAGTCTACTAGGTATAAGGTTTGAGAATCCAATATTCAAAGATGCAAAGATGCACTACAAACTGTATGGATGGCAGACAAGACTTCTGTTGCTTTTTATGAAACACATGCCATTTTTCCTGACATTTACTTAATAGCACTTCAGTAAATATTTCCTAAATAAAGACCAAAAAATGGAAGGGGGAAAGGGAGGAGAGAGGGAATAAGGAAAAACAAAGGGAAAAATATTATAGTGAAGGAACTGTGGATTGTGGAAGAACAGAAGAAAGAAACTGAGAGAAGACACAGATTAAGAAAAACCATTGATGTGATAAATACACTGATATGAATGAATTCAAGGGTATAGAACCTGCTAATCTATCAGGAAAAGAGTTTGCATTTTGATAATAATTTCTCAAAATGCTTTAGGGGATAGTGTTGCAAAGAGTAAAATACCTTCCACAATTAACTAAAATTTACTTGGAAAAAATCATTAGCTAAAAAACCAGCAGTTATATTATTGAGAAATCGTGAATCATACTAATTTGAGAAGTTTAGATGTCTATTTCATCTAGTCATCTGTGTTCAACCCGAAATCCTCTCCGTGTATTTAAGAAACGCTCATCTCCACAAGTGTCAAAAGGGCCCTAGAGAACGAATCTGAATACCTGATTTGCAAGCCAGACTTTACCCTGTGACCTCAGACAAGTTACTTAGCCCCTTAAACCTTCAGCAGAAACTTTGGAGTTCAAACATTGCTTCAAATTTTGATTCTGGATGTACATATATTTGTGTTGTTGTTTTTTTTCCCCTGAGCCTTGATAATTGCTGATCTGCTTCCAGAGTGCAAGAATGTAGCATATAAATGTCACCGATCACAGAGACTCACACTTGGCAACTACTTCTAATGAAACAACTTGAATGAAATGCTTGTCTCTAAAATGCTCCTGTTATAAAGAATACCAACTAAGATACTATACTAAACCCTTTAGTTTTGGTAATGTTAGTAAGTACGATTGGTGAACCTGATTCCTGGGCCCTACTGCAGACATAATATAAGAATTTCTAGGAATAGAGCCCAGGAATTTCATCTTAAAATATGCAATCCCAGAGAACTGTTGTGAACACACAGAAGCAGCAAGTTCCCTAAGTATGTGAAGTTAGAATAAAAACAGTTATTGGAGGCTCCTTAGAGACAAGCCAGCCATCAACATGGAAAAATATGTACACAAAAAGTAGGGAAATGTTTAAAATTCTGTAGAGAAGAGGTAACAGCAGATGGCTTTCAATTTACATGCATCTGGGGCTCGGTGACTACTGTGTACACTAAACTCTGCGTTAGGAACTTTGGGCACACACATAACGCAACAAGAAGCCAATGACGAAAGCCTAACTTAATAAATTATTTCTGTTCCATTCCAACAATGTTAATTAACTGTTTGGGGAACATCTTTTAAGTCATGGGCCAACATCTACTCATGTATTTTTTCAATTCCTTTCAGTAGCTTATAAAGACTAACCTATCATTTTAAAATTTGAAAATTACTGAACCTCATAAATTTTGCTGAGTAAGCATTAGAATGAAGACTAACTCAAAGAAGCAAATGTAAATATTATTTTGAAAATGTACATTGAAAGTTT